ATCTGGCCAACTCGTAAAAGCGGCCGATGGGGTCGGGACCAGGTCCATTCATCTTGTCTCGTCGCCCCGATTCCAAAAATACCCCTATGTGCCCTGCTAGCACCAATAATGGCGGAAATCCCCCTCCCGCTCATGTAAACCATGATGCACCTGCAGCAGACCTTGTGCGACCCGGACGGGATTTGCACCACCGGATTATTTGTTTGGACGGTACTCCTGAAGTACCCTCCAAATCTGGTTACTCTAGCTCAACTCCTTCCTTGTACACAGACGCCAACAACAACAACAACTACAACAACAACAACAACAACACACAGACACAAAGGCAAATGCATAGGCCCTCCCCCTATTTTTTGAATAGAAGGGCGGGCCAAAAATGGGGCTCAATTTGGGGGAGATAAAGGAGCTAATGTGCGGCGTCTGCTTTCTGCTACAGAATTCAAAAAAGTTGGTGCTGCGCGGCAGCCGGCGGCTCAAACAAAAAGCAAAAACGAAAAAAACTGAGGTTTTTCCTAGTTTTTTCATCCGTAATTCATTTGCTACTCTTTAGTCATTTTCCACGGGAAAATTAGACTTTTTAGTTAATTTGATTCAAAATGTAAAGATTTCTCTCACAATTTTTTGCTGCGAAACAGATTTGTACGCAAAGCGCTCAGGCGCAAAATCGCATCAGACAAACGTCCAAAAATTGGTGACATGGGTTCAGTGTGTTGTCAGAACAAAAATGATTATTGTGATGTTGATTGCTGTGTGAGCCCCCTTAGACACACACCCGCTACACCCTAGCGGCCCTCAGGTGCGGCCCCTCAAGGGAATGGCGCGCGAGGCCCCATATCACCCCCCTCCCCCTTTCATTACGCCCCTGCCGGCTAGACGCGTCTATGGCTGAGGTACGCCGTAGTGTCCACATTCCGGCCCAAGCGACTGCTGTCCGGCGCGCCGTCCCACAGTGGGCCAGAAGACCGGTGGAGGCGGACAAAACTCTAGACGCGTTTTGAGCTCCAGAGTCGCTAAATGGGACTCGAAACGAACGTGTGACCCCACCAATGGATTCCTCGTTCGGAGAGCAATCCATTGGTGGGGTCACACGTTCGGTTCGAGTCCCATTTAGCGACTCTGGAGCTCAAAACGCGTCTGGAGTTCTGTCCACCCCACCGGTCTTCTGGCCCACTGTGCGTCCCCCTCCGGCAGACTGAATCCGAAATAGTCTCTCTCGCACTCGTGCGGCGTGGCGCTGAGGTGCGAGAGAGACGGAGCGACCGCCAGCGTGCGGCCCGGCCGGGTCCGGCCCGGCGGTGCAGCCGAGGAAAACTTTGCCTGTTGTCCGCAGTTTCATTGCATCGGCGATACTCTCGATACTGCAGTGTGCGATACATATTCCGGATTGATTATTCGAGTGTAGCGGCGCTACGGCCCCGGCATATATGAAACTGCTGCGGTCGAGTCCGGACTCGGGCCCACCTCAAGACCCCCGTGCAGCGCAGTTCCAAAAACACATCCCGAATATTTCGGCGTCACGTCAGCAGCATTGTTAGAAAACATGCGCGTGGCTGTGCATCCCTTCGCTTATACCCCCTCTAGAAAGATTGGAATGTCCCCTCCCCGCCCCGCCTTTCTTCAGCAGACCCGTTAACAGCAGACCCTTCCGCCCCGCCCCGCCCCGCCCCGCCCCGCCCCGCCCCGCCCCGCCCGCCCCGCCCCGCCCCCGCAGCGCACCTTTCACCCACTGGAGTGGGGGAGGGGGACGCTCGAGTTGCTTCCGCGGCCGGATTATCATGATCGCGACGTAATTTACGTCAAGGGCATGGCGATCTAAACCACGCGCGGGGGAGGGGGCAACGCGACCAGCCAGGCAGCCAGGCAGCCAGCCAGGCAGCCAGGCAGCCAGCCAGGCAGCCAGCCAGCCAGCCTGGGGGCTGGAGAGGGCTGGAGCAAGCCCGGCAGGCAGGGGTCGGGGTGAGAATGATCTCATGGTCCAGTGCTCCCCGCCTCGGCGCGCTGCGCTGCGCGCCGCCTCGCCAGGCAGTTTGTCATACTGCTGCACTTGCACCTCGGCGAGTCGATCCGACTGATTGGTGGGCCCGCCTCCTGGAGAACCTCGCCGATATGGGGAAGGATATGCCTCGTATTTCACGGCGAGACCGCCCGCCAGACATTTTCACTTCCGTCAAGCGCGTCTCAGCTCGGACCGCGGCACAGTGGGCCAGAAGACCGAAAGATGCGGCCAAAACTCTAGACGCATTTCGTCCTCCAGGGTCGCTAAACAGGCCTCGAACCGAACGTGTGACCCCACCAATGGATTCCTCGTCCGGAGAGCAGTCCATTGGTGGGGTCACACGCTCCGTTCGAGTCCTGCTTAGCGACTCTGGAGCTCAAAACGCGTGGCTCACACTGTCTCTCTCGCACTCACGACGCGTCACGCGAGAGAGTGGCGCGCCCACTGATAGATTTGCCGCGAGCTCATACCGCAACGAAAGCAAGGCGCCTGTTTGTGCTTCGCCGGCTCCGCCTGCTTCGGGTGCAATAACACAAACGTGGCGGCGTGGCAGATAACGCCGCGCGGGGCGGGCGCGGGGCGCGGCCTCTGTTTTGGAAACACCGCTGGCGACGGCGGCAGCGCGCGGCTTTTCGACATGTTGAGAGAGAGAGAGAGAGAGAGAGAGAGTCCATAAGCAAGGCACGCGGGCCACGCATCCCCGACAAAACAAATTAGCGATAACGGATTATAAAAGCGCGGTCGTCACGGCCGGCGGGCACGCGAGCGCGCCGGGCCTCGCCTCGGGCGTTGACGGCGTTGACGGCGTTGACGGCCAGGCACTTGAGGGAAGGGACACGCCGAGTGGCGCGCGTGCGGCCCCGCGTGCGGCGCAACCGGATATGGTGCGTGTGTTAATCCGGGCGTCGCCTCGCCTTATCCGCCGCCATCAGCATGTCCCCGTCGGCGAGCGCACGTGTGTGTGTACTCACATACCGAGCGTAAACGCATATTCACACGCGACCACATTCCGCCCGTTTCCCAGCGCTTGTCGCGTCGATGTCTCCTCCCCCTCCGTCCCCCTCCCCTTCTGATTCCGCCGAGCGAAGCGTTTTCGAGTCGCTCGTTGTCGCTCTCGCACCCCTCGTGGCTCATATGGAGCGTTTTGCGAGAGGGACAGAGCGACGGAGGCGCCCCGCAGTGGGCCAGAAGACCGGCCGAGGCGGTTGAAATCCCGGACGCGTTTTGAGCTCCAGAGTCGCTGAATGCGAGTCGAAACGAACGTGTGACCCCACCAATGGATTGCTCTCCGAGCGAGGAATCCATTGGTGGGGGTCACACGTTCGGTTCGAGTCCTGTTTAGCGACTCTGGAGCTCTCAAAACGCTTCTAGAATTTCGGCCGCCGCCACCGGTCTTCTGGCCCACTGAGCGCCCGGGGGTTAGGCATCCCGAAATCACGCGCGCGGAGAGCGTGGCCTATCCTCGCTTTCACAGGCGGTGGCTGGCAGCGCGCGCGTATGCGCATGTGTGTGTGTGTGTGTGTGTGTGTGTGTGTGTGTGTGTGTGTGTGTGTGTGTGTGTGTGTGCGTGTGTGTGCGCGCTCGTGCGTGAGCTCGCGCGCACAGGCACTGCTGACCCGCATCCCGGCAGCAGCACGCTCATTGATGGCGCACACACACAGGCGAGCAACACACACGGACACGCATGCAGGCGAAGTGAACCGAAGCACGAGATCCACAAATACCGATTCACACACAGACGCTGCTGCCTCGCAGTCGCACACACACACACACACACACACTCACACAGACAGAGGCGCCGGGGCGGTGAAACGCTCGTCATCCCAGTCCGCGCCGCGTTTTGTCCCCTTCACCACACAATGAGCAACGCGCTCAAAAGAGTGAAAATCGGTGAAAATGGCAGTTTTGTCTGTGGATAATTATTTTGTTTTGTTTTTTCATCTTTGGTCGCAAAATTCGAGCAGGGCTCATTCGCTGCATTGGCGGCTTCGTTACCGCTTTATCCCGTCTGCCTTTGTCTGTCCCCCTCCCCCCCCCTTTCTCCGGTCCCTTTCAGCTGTCCAATCAGAGAAATGTATGAGGACGAGCAACAGCTGTACCTCCTTAGTTCATATCTATTCCTGCCTCCGGGAGGGGGATCATCTCTGGAGGGGAAGCGGTAGCGATCGTACCGGATCTAATCAAAGAGAATCTTGTCCATTGGTCAGCCCGTTTCCTGCTGAAATCGATAATTGGAAAGCTGGTCCGCGACGTCCGTCTTTCATCCGCCCGTCTGTCTGTCTGCCTGTCTGTCTGTCTGTCTGTCTGTCCGTCTGTCTGTCTGTCTGTCTGTCTGTCTGTCTGTCTGTCTGTCTGTCTGTCTGTCTGTCTGTCTGTCTGTCTGCCTGTCTGTCTGTCTGCCTGCCTGTCTGTCTGTCTGTCTGTCTGTCTGTCTGTCTGTCTGTCTGTCTGCCTGTCTGTCTGCCTGCCTGTCTGTCTGTCTGTCTGTCTGTCTGTCTGTCTGTCTGTCTGCCTGTCTGTCTGTCTGCCTGTCTGTCTGTCTGCCTGTCTGTCTGTCTGCCTGCCTGTCTGTCTGTCTGTCTGTCTGTCTGTCGTCTGTCTGTCTGTCTGTCTGCCTGCCTGCCTGCCTGCCTGCCTGCCTGCCTGTCTGTCTGTCCGTCCGCTTGGAGGCCACAGTGACGTTCTCGGCACGCTCATCCCTTTTCCACCAATTGTTTTGCGACGGCGCTGCCACGACTTAGGTGCCAAAGTTGCGCACTGTAAAGCTCCGGCCGAGTTCCGGCGCTCCCTGCCGAATCCGGCCAAGACTGCCTGCCGAGTTGGGCGCCACCGTGGGCCAGAAGACCGGTGGCGGCGGTTGAAATCCCGGACGCGTTTCGAGCTCCAGAGGCGCTTAATGGGACTCGAACTGAACGTGTGACCCCATCAATGGATTCCTCGTTCGGAGAGCAATCCATTGGTGGGGTCACACGTTCGCTTCGAGTCCTGCTTAGGGACTCTGGAGCTCAAAACGCGTCTAGAGTCTTGGCCGCCGGCGCCGGTCTTCTGGCACACTGTGCGAGCGCGGACTCCAGAAAGGCTGGAACTCCTTGACGTCACGGTGCTGCCCGGGGAGATTCGGTGCCGAGAAATACTAATTCGATAAGAGGGTCGTACCTGGGCATCGTCTGGCCGCGTCTGTGCGGCCCGGGACCGGAAATTGCCTCTGTCGCGGCTTCAACTGTTCTGCCACGCCCCCCCCCCCGCCTCTTTTCTACCCCCACCACCCCTTCCGATACTGATCCCGGTCCTGGGTGATCCCAGAGCGTCCTTCACCCCTCCCCTTCCACTCTCCGACCCCCTTACTCAGCCCCGCTTTTGCAATTATGCCACACCTGCGTTTGGAGACAGCTTGAGCCCCGGCGCGGTAGACCTGGCCGAGGGCGGCCCAGGGCGGCCCAGGGCCCCGCCACTCGCACCTTGTAGCGCTCACACGCCGCTCGGTGCCGCGCTCCCAGGTAGGGCTCCCAGGTAGAGCTCCCACGGAGAGCGCACAGCCCCGCGATCGGTAGCACTCACAACTTCGCTCACGCGAACAAACGTACTGCACGGTTGTTTATGCAGGTCGAAAAATTTGGAGAACGCTTTTTGCGCACGGTGAGACTCGGTCCTGGACCTTCCAGGGCCGTCCTGGTTTCTCCTATGCTACATACATAGGCAAACCAGGACGGTCCTGGAAGATCCAGTCTTACCGTGCGTCTTGGAATTATTTTTTACAGTGAGCACCAAAGTTCCTACAAGTAAGTAATAAAGTCAGTCCCGGATTAATTTTTCTTTTAAAAACACGATGAATATAAAAGTAAAAATAATTATTTAGGATTGATGTTGTCCGAGTAGAGCGCACTCACGTCTCTTTCGGACTCTTCCAACGCGATTCTACTCCCCCCCCCTTTTTCCCTCTGCGCGGTTGAAACGCGCGCAATGAATATGTGGGTCACATTCATTTATGGCCAGGAATTAATTATTCGGCGGTTCGGCTTGTCACGGGTGTCGCGGTGCGCGGGCGTGGCGTGGCGGGGCGGGGTGGGCGGGGAGGGGCGGGTGGGGCCCGCATGTTATGCGTCCCGGGGCGCAAAGTTTGCACGTAGTGTGTCATCCCTCCCCCTAACCTACGCCACTGTGTCTGTCTGTGTGTCTGTCTGACTGTCTGTCTGTCCGCCCGTTCGTCCGCTCGTCTCATCTCGACATAGGTAATCGCCGTCTTTCGTCAGCGTAACCAGAATGCGGTAGGCAACGCATGGCGTTGCATTTCCTCCGTCCCCTGTCTTCGTCCCCCTCCTCCCACTCTCAGGGAGGGACAGAGAGAGAGAGAGAGAGAGAGAGAGAGAGGGGAGGGAGAGGCACAGAGAGACGGCAATGGAGACAACTTCATTCTATTCCAAAGCCTGGCATCATAAACTGCGGATTCAGCACTGGGACGGCTTGCCTGGATGGGCCGACCCTGTCCTGGAGTCCTGGACCTTCAAAGCGGCGCTCTCTTTCCCCCTCTCTCTCCCTCTTCATATTCTGACGATCTCAGCAGCCTGACCTCGCCTCTCTCTTTGCGCGCTTCGGCGGAAAAGGCATGAAAATAAAGCCGGAATATAATTACTTTGTGCAGCAGCGAGTGCAGTCTGACTGGCCGCACAATCTCCGAGACGAGATGACTGGTCCACTAGCAAGCGCTCTGTCTTCCAGCGGGATCACCAGTTGATTATCCCGGGCCGTAAAACGAACGGACCGAAACAGGGGAGACTTCGCGGTGGCCCCGAAAACAAAATCCAGAGCGAGCAATTCCAAAAATGCAAATTTAAAAAAAAAAAAAAAAAAAAAAAAAGCTCTCAGATTAAAATTCTTGACGCAAAGTTACAAAAAGGAGCCGATACGCCGGTTTCGAGATTATCCGCAGGAGACCGCACCAGTAAATCAACAAAACAGAAGCACCCCTTTCAGCATCGGAAACCCCTTAAAATCGAGCGGCCATTCCGGGCGTCGCGTTCCGTTTTCGTACTGCCGAATCGGGAAACCTGGGGCGCGGCGGACTCTTCGTTTGGACTGGTAAATAATGGCGTTATTGATTGCATCTATTTAATTCTCGCACAGACAAGCAGGCGGGGAGCAGAAAAAAAAAGTGCGGGGAACAGAGAGTGCTTCGATCGTCTTTTTCTTGTCTCAGGTCTTAATATCCCCTCAAATTGGTGGCAATATTTGCGAGCGGCGTGCCAATGTTCCGGGCCAATTTAATTGATAGAAACGATCGCGGAGTCAGCATCGCACTGCCGGGCCGGGCGCTCTCTTGATGAAGTGCCCCGTTCGTGTGGGACAGCCTGGGACAGCCCCGCGTTTTGATTGGACGCAATAGCCAATACGGCGCGGCCATGTTTATAACATTGATACAGTTGCGAGGGCGCTGCAGCCTATCTGGCCTTGGCCATGTATCTCGGCTGTAATAAATCGGGATGCCATTTCGGCGATACATCACGTGGCCTGCTGCCGGTGGGCTGGCCGGACTGGCCGGGCTGGCTGGTACACTAATGCCTTGCGAAGCGCCCTGGCTGACGGTGTTGCCACCTAAGTAGGCAAACATTCCCACGACGGACTGAACCTCGTGCTGCCTACTGGGTGACTGTCTGAAGGAGTTTGCCTTGAAGGCGGACTGGGGTTGGTAACTGTTGCGTCGTGAGAGCTTTTGCATACAAGTGTGGTCTAGCCCTTAATGGTAATGGCAGCCCAAGTCACGCGCGTTCGGCGTGTTGCCTACCCTCGCTTCTGCGGGCGCTAGAGGGCCAAGTCTACAAACAAAAACGGTGGAGCCGGCACAGCACAGGTTCGACTCTTGAGATCTCAAAGTCGGCCGAAACTAGACCCAACCCCATGGAACCCGTTTTTCGACCAAGAGAAATAGCAGTACAAGTGTCAGCTTCGCTTCGAAAAATCCCTGGAATGGCTAGTTTCACCGTCAAAATTTTCTCCCTGCATCTCAACCAGGTTTTTTTTCCAGTGCCCCTTCCACACAATTTCAGCAGTTTCCTTGGTTCGCCCCGAGCGACTGGATGCACTTTGAAGGGCGACGGGCCGACGGGCCGCGGCCTGGATCCCGATGCAGCCTCGCCAGCCCAGCCCGCCTCGCAGTGGCCTGGCAGCGGCCTCGCAGTGGCCTCGCAGTGGCCTCGCAGCGGCCTGGCAGTGGCCTGGCAGCGGCCTCGCAGTGGCCTGGCAGTGGCCTGGCAGTGGCCTCGCAGTGGCCTCGCAGTGGCCTGGCAGTGGCCTCGCAGTGGCCTCGCAGTGGCGTCGCAGTGGCCTCGCAGTGGCCTGGCAGCGGCCCCGCCAGATTCGCATTATATTTTAATATCGCCTTTCGCCCGCTTCCGGCTGGATGGCGGCGGAGGACGCGCAGGTGCGCGGCAAGGGAGGGATCCGCTTTTTCCCTTTCCGCCAAATCGTGTGTGAAGCCAAGCCGCCTTGCAAGTTTCACCATGTATCCCTCTACTTTTTCCTCCTCGAATTTTTCTATATTTTTTAGGAGGGGTGGGGGTGTTTATCCGGGTCTCTTGCGGTGATTAATCTCGTTGTTCAAACGGACCGACTTGTAACGGCGGAAACGCAAAAAAGGACCTTTTCTTGCGCTGCCCGCCCTTGGGATGTCCAATTTCTGTAATGAAGGTCATGGCTTGAAATTTTACACCGGGCGTCTTCTGCTCATCTATAATCCCCTCCCCCCCTCCCCCTTCCCTGCCTCGCACCTGGAACTCCCTCTTGCCCTCCCGCCTGAATTTAATTCGCCTAATGCGAATGCTTGACAACCCTGCCGGCCTTTTTTTTTCTTTTTAAGGAGGGAAATAAAATTAAAGTGGAAGACAGAATAACGTGGAGGGCGGGACAGAGGGAACGGAGGGGTTGGAGGGAGGGAGAGAGAGAGAGAGAGAGAGAGAGAGAGAGAGAGAGAGAGAGAGAGAGAGAGAGAGAGAGAATATCGGCAGGGGTGGAGCGCAGAGACAGGGAGACAGGGGCGCGCCCATTCAAGGGTCAACCCTTTTCGTGTTAAGGTGCCTCAGGCACTTGTGTGTGTGTGTGTGTGTGTGTGTGTGTGTGTGTGTGTGTCAGTGTGAGTGTGTATGTGTGTTATCACCGGAGCGACATGTTAGTCTGTATTAGTGTAAAGCGAGGATGTGCGTCCCGGCGTCCAAACCGTCTCTGAATTTATTTCACTGACTCGCCTGCCTCCTCCCTTAACATTTTTGGTGCCCTTCCTCTGAAAAAAGGTAATATAAAAAAGAATGCAATCTCCCGCTAAAAAAAATGTGGCTAAAAAAAATCACCATTTTTTGTAAATTTAATAATAGCATGGCGGTTTTTTTTTTTTTTTGACTCAGTTTGCTGGTTGTTTTTTTACAAATTTATTTTGGATTTTACCAACTTGATTTTGACAGTGTGGCTGCGTGTGTCTTCCTGGCCGGGCTGGCCGCGGCCATTGCGTCCGTCATGTCGCCGTTGGACCGCATTACGGTCGCTCCGCTATTTATCAATTCGCAAATGGGTCAGCACGCCCCGCCCCGCCCCGCCCCGCCCCGCCCCGCCCCGCCCCCCCGCCCCGCCCCGCCCCGCCCCGCCCCGCCCGCCCGCCCCGCCCCGCGCGACAGTGCTGCTGCAGCAGGCCAAGTAATGCGTCACGGAGCCAATCCGCCACGTCCGCCATTATTTCTCATTTCGGCTCGCAGCGAGAGAGCCTTCATTGCGATAACGCGCGTCGAATTGAACGGCTCGTTGGCTGTTTGTTTTTTCGCCACATTTCGTGTGGTGCTAATTGTCCGATGACACACTCGCGCTGGGACGGAGAAAAAAAAAAGGGTAGCCGGACGCTGCTGTAAAATCGCGCGGAGAATCAGAAAATCACCCTCTCAGCCCTCGATGGAGAGTCCCTCTCGGCAGCACGCGGCAGCTCTGACTTGACTTGAGTTCTTTTCCATCTACAAACAGAAAAAAAAATTCTCGCCTCGGGAATCGAACCGCTCACCTTCGGCTCCGGAAACGCACGCCTCTACCCACTCGGCCACCGCGGCGTGGACGCGCCCATTGAAGAGCCCCGTGGCCGCAGGGCGCGGCCGAGGCGCGGCCGACCTTACAAAATGTCACTTGACTATTCATCAGATAATCGCCTATGCAAATCGGGGTGTGGCGCGGCTCGGCGCGGCCCGGCCGTCCTCCGATGAATTTTATCAAGGGGAAGATTTTCCGCGGCAGCGCGGCAGCGCCAAGTTGAAGGTTCGAGGTTCGCGCCCGACCGGGGCCGAGGCCGGGGCGGCGCGCTGATGGCGCAAACTCGGTTGATAGTTCGGGCCATTCATAAGGCACGGCGTATCCGCGCAGAATGCGTAGCGCTGCATTCCGAACCCGGGTCTCCTGTCTCTCTCGCACCCCCGCGGACAGCCCCGTGAGTGCGAGAGAGACAGCGCGGAATGCCTTTCCTCGCATTACGTCTCTGTGCGTGTTATGAATGTAGGTGATGGATAACAACATCACCCCGCTCCATCTAGCAGCCATACCGCTTTCTGGCTTGTTAGGCTAGGCGCTTTTGTACCCAACGAAACGCTTGCGGTTACAAGCGCGGCGTTATTTTAGTCGAAGTTTTATAAACCATGCCAGTAACTAAAGGGCATTCAAAAAAAAATTCCGCGTTTTTTTTTAAATTTATTTCACAATTGAACTTTTTAGTTTCTTTTGCACATGTTTTTAAACTAATAAAAAATTGCATTTGTCTCTTCTTCCCTTTGCGTGTCACCTCCCGGCAGGCAAACCGTTCCTGCGACCGCCACACTGCTAGTCTGAATCCCGGACGAGTCGACGCGAAAACTTGCGCCGTTCCTCCCCGCTGCTTTATCGCTCTTCCGGTCGGCCCTGCCTCGGCCCTGCCTGCAGACTGATTCCGAGAGCTCTGTCTCTCTCGCACTCGTGGGGCGGCCCGCGAGGGTGCGAGAGAGACGGAGCGACTGTCCGGCCGGCAGCGCTTCGGCCCACAGTGGGCTAGAAAAGACCGGTGCAGGCGGCCAAAACTCAAGACGCGTTTTGAGCTCCAGAGTCGCTGAATGGGACTCGAACCTTACTTGTGACCCCACCAATGGATTGCTCTCCGAACGAGGAATCCATTGGTGGGGTCACACGTTCGATTCGAGTCCCATTTAGCGACTCTGGAGCTCAAAACGCGTCTAGAGTTTTGTCCGCCTCCACCGGTCTTCTGGCCCACTGTGCGGCCCGTTTAGCCTGGGAAAGTGGTCATCGGCGACCCTCGGGACGCACGGCGCGGCAAGGCGCGGCAAGGCGTGCTGCAGGCCGGGCACAATGGTCGCCCATTTGCATGGTCTTGTACCGCGGTCGAAAAGTTTGGGAATCGCCGTCCCAATGCGCCACTATCGCCCCGCCGGGCGGGCCCCGCCTGTCTGCCTCTGCCCTCAAGAGACCTGCTCATTGAAAACGGCGCGCCTCGTCTGAGCAGCGCAGGGAAGCCACCGCCTTGCACTGTATCGCGTAAACTTGTTGGATGGTGGCTGCACCTCCCTATCACTAACAACGTGTGAAATAGAGTCCGTGCAAAATACTATTCAGAAGCAAAGTGACCTCACGACTTACTTTCCGCAGAACCACGCCGTAAAAAAAATACAAGCCACAAAAAAAGACAAGTGATGATGCACCTGGCGCTTTGATTGCAGTGGGGTGACGCTGCAGACACGCTGTTAATCACAATCAGTCAGACAGCGGCGCGCACCTCAGCGGGAAGCGCGCCGCGGACGTGCGGTGCCTGCACTGTGCGAGTTCCACTGCACTGCTGTGGCCTGCGCTCCGCGTTTTGCTGTTGCTGCCGAAAAAGAAAGGCAGCAAAAAAGGGGCCCGCGAGCGTGAAAATCACAGCGCTTATTCGAGTTCGGCACGGCGGGGCGGGGCGGGGCGGGGCGGGTGGCGGGGCGCGGCGAGAACACACGCCCTATGATACATCGCAGACGGAAGGCCGTTTACAGAGGCGTCCATTCAGAGTCTTCTCCGCCATTAGAATGGCATTGTACCGTTATTCTCCAAAGTGCACTTTTTGTGGCTGGGGCCCCCGCGCGGCCACCGCCCCGCCTCAGCCGCGCCCCGCCTCGGCCGCGCCCCGCCCCGCCCCGCCCCCCCCCCCCCGGGCCTGGCCCCCCGGACATTAAGAGCAAGCCACCCTTTCCAGCGCGGGCCTCCACCACGGCCGCCTCGCCGTCCTCGGCGGCCCCGGCCACGGGGACCTTTCATAGAGGGGGACTACCATGACCCGCCCTTTCCGCGTAGCCCCGGCGCAGCCCGGCGCCGCAGCCCGGCGTAGCCCGTCTCCCTCGCGCTCCCTCCTCTTGACTTAACCATCCCCTCCCCTCCCTCCCCTCTGATTCTGATTCATGTAGGTGTCCGTGCCGCGGCCTCAAAGGGATGTTAATTCCGCAAGGCGAATCCGGGTCGACACAACAGAGAGCCCAGACCGCAGAGCGCGCCGACGAAAGAGGAAGAAGTCCGGCGCACAGTGGGCCGGAAGAGCGGCGGCGGCGGCCGTAACTCCAGACGCGTTTCGAGCTCCAGAGTCGCTAAACAGGACGCGAACCGAACGTGTGACCCCACCAAAGGATTCCTCGTTCGGAGAGCAATCCATTGGTGGGGTCACACATTCAGTTCGAGGCCCATTTAGCGACTCTGGAGCTTAAAACGCGTCTGGAGTTTTGTCCGCCTCCGCCGGTCTTCTGGCCCACTGTGCGTCGGACAGACGGTGGCGGTGCACGCCGGGCTGCAAGTCCGCGTGTCCGCGTGTCCGCGCACCGGCCGCTCGATGGTTGCGTTCCCACACCGCCTTCCCACACACTGCAAAGTCGCCCTGTATTATTTATGGTGTAAAGACACGCACAATGCTTGCGAGGAGCCAGGCAGATGCACGGCCCGGCGTGCGTAGCGCGTACGCCGCGGGAATATTTCATGGCGGTGCGTGCGCGCTGGGCGGCAGGGCAGGGCTGGCCCCCACGGCCCCGCCGCGCCCCGATCGCACCGATTTCTCCTCGTCTCCGGCATTCGTCGGCTCGTTTTCGGCACGCTTTCGTTGAAAATCCGGCTGCAGCCACACTGGAAATGTCCTTTCTGGTGAGTGCGTTGTCACTTGCGTTGCCAGTACAAGTTTTTTGGAACTACAGCCTCCAAATACGACGGCGACAGCTCGATACAAAATCCCCCGGTACAGTGTAGTGACCCTTTGTTTGCCACGTACACAGGTGACTAAACGCACTCGCACACACACACACACACTCACACCACACACACAGAGTCGGCGGATCTCAGCTCTGCGTTGTAAGAACGATGTGTTTGCCCCCAGCACACACAGGCACCGCCGGCATGATGGCAGCCCTTCGTCAGGCACTTTCTTTCTTCTTCTTCTTCTTCTTCTTCTTCTTCTTCTTCTTCTTCTTCTTCTTCTTCTCTTCTTTCTTCTTCTTCTTCTTGAATCTGCCACAGCAGCTGCCTCATCCCCCCCCCCATCCCCGCTACAAAAAAAAAAAAAAAAAAAAACTACGAGAAAAACGGAGGCGTCGTGAGAATTGAATAAACTGGCACCGCTTAAATGCCGAGATAAATCTGGAAGACTGGCTTCCCCTTTCCGGGCCGGCAGGACGAGGACGAGACGAAGACGAGACGAGCGGGGAACGTGTCTGGCTGCCGCGTCTGGCTCGCCTCGCTGTGCGCGCCTCGCTGTGCGCGTCGGGCTGCGCGCGTTCAGTTTGGGCGCGAAACACAGAGGGATGGAATGCAGGCTGGGAATTATTAATGTCCGGAGAGGAGCGCGGCGCGCGGCGTCGCGCCTCAGACACTGTAAGCCCTCCGCGGCCGGACCTCGGAGCAAACAAAAACAAAAAAAGAGTTGGTTGTTGTTTTTTGGGGTAGGTCAGGTAGTAGCAGGTCTGGCGACATGTCAATAGGTTTGACGATCCTCAGAGGTCGTATATATGGTTCGTGTGGCTCTTTGGAGATTCACCAGTCTCCCCCTCGGCCCTGGCTCGGCCCTGGCTCGGCCCTGGCCGCTGCCGCGCGTCAAAGGGCTGACACCAAACCGCCTCCTGTTTTAAGGCACTAATTTGCCATGGATTTATTCATGAAGCTGGCAGGGCTAGCTCCACTCCGCCTCGACGTGTGGGCCGCGGATGGTCACGTTGGTCGTCCTGGAGGCCGTGGCCAAGGCCGTGGAGGTCGCCCGTCGCGAGGCTAGGTCGGCAATCGCCCCTTAGGGTGCGAGGCTAGGTGGAAAGCGTTTCCGAACCGCGCGGGATGGATGTGGAGGTGCGCTCCGCGCCGGTACTGCTGCAGGCTTTCAGCCACTCGGTGGGGTATTACCATATACATCGCACCTTGCCCGCGAGCGGCGGGGCGTGGCGTGGCGGGGCGGGGCGTGGCGGTACGACGCACAGCCCGAACAGTGTCCAGAGGCATCCGAAGATACACAAGCAGGCGAAGGCATGCGCGTTAATAAAAGTGAGGAATCTCTTAATCCCCGACGCCTAATGCCTCTCCCTCACGTCGCGACGCGTCGGCGTGCTGCTTAACGTCGTAAACACCGCCGGGGACGCCGGCAAGGCCCCGTCGCCGACGAGGGGACGACGGGGACCTCGCCGGGGCCCGGCGGGCCGCACCGTACGTCCCTGCAGACACGTCTGCTAGGCAAATATCGCGAGAACAAGTTGCCAATTACAAGAGAGTGGAATGTCCCTGCCGCTAGTGCCTCCCCTCCGCCTCTTCGCCCCACCCCTCCATCCTGGATTCGTTTCCCTGTCCCGTGTGTCTCGGCCGGTCTCGGCCCGCCTCCCCCTTCGTCGGCGTCCTCGGGGCTTTGCCGTCATCGTGTCCGTCGTCCGGCCATGCATCCTTCAGGCCGTCCTCGGCGTCCTCGGCGTCCTCGCATGTCTGCCTGCACGCCATGCGGCGAGCCATGCGGCCAGCCATGCGGGCACGCCGGGCCGCAGACTGATTCCGAGAGTCGCTCCGTCTCTCTCGCACCTACAAGGGCCGCCACGCGAGTGCGAGAGGGACAGAGCGACGAAAACGACTGCCGGGCTCCTCGTGGACGCGCGAACATCATCGACGCGGCGGCGTCACCGCCACGACGTCGCCCTCTCTCTCTCCTTCTTTCGCAATTCCTGTTAACGCGCTGCTTCGCGCTTCGCCGCTGCTCCTGAGAAAATGAGGGCGTGGAGGAAGCATTCGGGGCGCGGCACCGCTAGGGCTCCGCGTGGCAGCGCCAGGGCACCGCGTGGCACCGCCGCCGTAATCCGCCAAATTTCCAATTTTGTGAGTGTGTGCCACGCTGTGCTGCGCGCTGCGCGGTCTCTCTCTCTCTCCCTCTCTCTCTCTCCCTCTCACCTTCCCACGCCAGCGCAGCGCATTCTCGCATCACGATGCGGGGAAACGACTTCGTTTCATTCTTTTGCTGTTTTTTTCCCCCCGCGTTTTGTCACGGCAGCATCTTTGTCACCGGCCCGTACCTTTACCTCGAAAAAAAAAATGTCTGAACGCATAGCGCGGTGTCTTGTAATTTGAATACCCACTTTTCCAAGTACCACTTAGTATCACTTTGTGATTCGAACGTTATGGAATCGATCGTTTCTCGCGATGTTGCTTCGATGAGCTTCGCCATTGACGAGTGAACAAATATGCAAGGCGTGGTGAAAGTGTGTCAGCGGGGTTCTGCCTCCCCGTCGGCCAGAGACTGAATAGAAGCGCCTGGCTGATTCCGAGCCTCATCGCTCCGTCTCTCTCGCACCTCCTCGACGCGGTGCGCGAGTGCGAGAGAGACGGAGCGTTCGGGGACGGCCTGCTGCTTGCCGAACGGCCCAGCGCGTGTTTGCACACTAGGCTTTGCCCCCACCGCGCCTGCCTGCCTGCCTGCCTGCCTCGCCCCCTTGACCTCCAGGCTGCTCTCTGGCACTCGCGGGGCGCTCCGCACAGTGGGCCGGAAGACCGGTGGAGGCGGCCAAAATCCTAGACTCGTTTTGAGCTCCAGAGTCGCTCAATGGGACCCAAACTAAACGTGTGACCCCACCAATGGATTGCTCTCCGAACGAGGAATCCATTGGTGGGGTCACACGTTCGGTTCGAGTCCCATTTAGCGACTCTGGAGCTCGAAACGCATCTAGAATTTCGGCCGCCTCCACCGGTCTTCTGGCCCACTGTGCTCCGTAGGCCCGTGGGGGTGCGGGGCAGTGCGGGGCAGTGCGGGGGCGACGGAGTGACGAAGGCCGGGGTGGGGGCCTGGTCGTGGTTGCGGCTGAGTCGATCGCAATATCGCGCAAGATGAGGCACGGGACGATTAAGTCGGACAAATCAGGCGGCCGCCAGACTCGCTCTCCTTCCGTCTCTCTCGCACTCGCCGGGCGTCCCGCGGGGGGCGCGAGAGAGACGGAGCGACGACTCTGAGAACCAGCCCGCCGGCCATTGTGCACAGGAAGGGGTGGCCGTGGCCGCACGGGGGGTGGAAAAAGACCGGTTGAAAAAGGGCCAGGAAGGGGTGGGGGAGGGGGTGGGGGAGGGGTGGGGTGGCCGGGGGTGTATTGGCTGAGAAAACGGTGGCAAAAAAGGGCCGGGGAGGGCGGCTGGCTGGCTGAGCGGACGGTGTCGGGACGTGAGGGGGACAATCGTTGAACACTGCACCGTCCTTCACCGATCACACGCGGTGCCCTTAAGCCCTCCTCCCCCCCCTCCCTTTTCAGCCTTTCTCCGTCGAAAGACGCGCCTTTGTCTTGCTCGGGGCGGGGAGGGGTGGGGCGAGGCGGGGCGGATTCAAGTCCTGTGCAAGCAAAAATGGCGCGAAGCGTGTAGCACACCTACCACGCCACTGGGAAGGTGGAAACTGCGCAAGCCTCTGGCGGCAAAAAGACGCGCCTTCCTTCGCCTCGGCGCGATCGTCGAGTCTGCTGCAGATTAATTGGCCTTCGTGGCTGGCCGGGCCGGGCCGGGCGTAATCCAATTCCGAGTCCGTCTCTCTCGCACCCACACGGACCGTCGCCTGAGTGCGACAGAGACAGAGCGACAGAGCTCGAAAAAAAAAAGACAGCCGCCTGTTTACCGGCGAGGGAGGGGGGAGGCCCCGGTGGCGGGCGGCCACGCTTAGCGTCGGCTCCGTGTTCGTCCTTGGTTTTTGGTGGTACAAAGTCGGTTTTCCGGGTCGAGTGTGGTATCGGTCGGTCCGGGTTCACCCAGTGCGTCGAGGGTCGAAGTTCCGCGACGATCGGTGCATCAGTGTTCGAGTTTTGTGCAAATTAGTGTTCGGCCCTTTGTCTACCCGGCCTCCAGCGTCCCTCCGCCCGCACATGTGGCAGCGTGAGTGCGTCGCAGCGTCCCAGCCCCAGCCTCCAGCCGGCCCGGCCCGGCGTACCCCAGCGCTCACGCGCCCCGGCAGGCCTGCGGAGGGGCAGCGGTACCTCAAGCAACAGTGACCAGTGTCCAGCCGGCGTCAGTGTAGTGTGTCAGTGCCCCACGTTGTGAAGATCAGTGGTTTTGTTCATTGCGCAATCGGTCCTACCAAGTGCTCGACGGTTCAGTGGCCGGGTGTCGCCGCTCATCAACTGTGCCGTTCACCCGTGTTCAAAGAATCGTTCAGGAAAGCGCCCATTGCGCTTTGGTTTTTCCTGAGCGTCGCAGCAAGCCAGCGCCCGGCGTGGGCACGCCAGCCCCCTGTCACTCCCCTCCACAACTCGGCATGTGGCGTAGCTACACCAGGACCACCCCGCACCCGCACCCCAGCCTGGAGTCAGCAGCAGCCGAGGAAGGACACCTACGCCGCCTATGGATAAGTGCCTGCTCTGGTTTTGTTTTTCTCCCTTTTTTTCTTCTGGCCGCGCGCAACCCGGGCTGTGCCCCCCCCCCCCTTCCTCCCGCCCCGCCTTCGGGCGACGGCGTCGCACGTTGTTTGTGTTTTTCACGCTCATTTACAGCTCTAGGCCTAGTCCGGCGAGCAGGCCTGGTCCTCGCACCCCCCCCTCCCCCTCCCCTCGCCGTGTGTGGTGGGCAAGGCGTGTGTGGGGTGGGGCTCCGCTCGCTCCTTCTTCGTCCCTTCTTTCTCTCTCATTCGCGCTGGAGCTCCTTCCTGTCTATTGCCTCCTCGCCCCCTCCGCCCTCCTCCCCTTCCAGCCAGTGGTCACGGGGGTGGCCTAGGCCCCAGTAGGGGCGCTGGTCCATTTGCATGTCGCATGTCTTTTCCTTGCAGATCAGCGAGCCCTGCACTTTTACTTTCTGCGCGCTAGATTCGGCAGCGTCGTGGTGGATTGCCCACGCTAACTCTTATAGCCTAGGCCTGTTGGCGGTAGGGGTCGGCAGCTGGTCTTGTGGTATATCAAATTATTTGTGCTGTGTGCTTAATACTCTCTTGCAGCTAAACTTTCCGACTCAAGGGCGACACCTCATGGATGGGAATGCGGCTACGGCCTTCGACCCGTGAAGTTTGGTGTTTCCCCGACCTGCAAAAAAGGGTGCCTGGACCTTTGCAGCTTAAAACGAACCTCTGCGAGGGGCACCGCGTGGATGGGAATGCGGCTACGGCCTTCGCCCCGTGAAACCCGGTACCCCTCCTAGGGGGACGCCTCATGGATGGGAATGCGGCTACGGCCTTCGACCCGTGAAGTTTGGTGTCTCCCAACCCATCAAAAGGGTGCCGGGCCTGA